CTACTACTACTACTACTACTACTACTACTACTACTACTCTACTACTACTACTACTACTACTACTCTACTCTACTCTACTCTCTCTCTCTACTCTCCTCTCTCTCTCTCTCTCTCTCTCTCTCTCTCTCTCTCTCTCTCTCTCTCTCTCTCTCTCTCTCTCTCTCTCTCTCTCTCTCTCTCTCTCAGTCTCTCATGCCCGCTCTCTTCCATGCGATATTTTCTCAAGTTATTTTGCTCACTATTTCCATTTCCTACTATGACCCCCGTCTGACTATCTTTCTCCATAACAACACGTTTGATTTGTACGAGAGAAGTTTCGTAATCGCAAGTAAAGTGAGGTGGAGCTCTGAGCAGCAGCAGCAGCAGCAGCAGCTGTGCCCGGGGCTAGTGCTGATCTACCGACATGCGTGTGTGTGTGTGTATGTGTGCTTCAAAGTAGATAACGCTAACAACATGCAAGGAGAGCACGGTATTGCGGGGGTCGACGGAGAGGCACCGGCAATTCTCACACACAGCACCGCTCGCGACACAAACAGCGACAGCACAGGTAGTAACAAACTGCCTTCCTGAAAATGCATAATAATCGATGACAATGCAATAGTGGAGAACGCGTCGTGGCTATAACCACACCATGTGTGAGCTTAGCTATGCCTTAATTATTACACACTTCAGCAAGCAAAGCAGAGAGCACAGTCTTCCCCACTCGCTACAAGACGAAAGCAAATGAGCAAAAAACCACACCATTTCACCACCGACAGACACGTCGTAGTTGACCGTGTAAAATGTTTCGTGGTACAGAGAAATATAACTACTGAAAGTGGCACAAAGCACAAGTACGATGGACTTATCAGGGTTAAATATGCACAACATCACTATCATTCACTAATAGCGTGGTTGCATTGTGAGGGTTATAGAGCAAAGTAGGCATTGATCAGAAAGTGATCAGGTAGAACAGGAAGAGGGGCCCAATAATGACGGGTTAGTGAATTGAGGGAGAAGTGGCCAGTGATGAAAGAAAGAGGGGGCAGTGATGGGAGATTGATGGGAGATAGCAGTCATGAATGAGAATTGCAATAAGAGATCACAGCCAACCCTTGCTTGAAAATTGTTCAAGTAAGAGATAAAAGGCTAGTAACCATGGGGCCGTTGTCAGAAACATCGTAAAGTTAATGCTAATGTTAATGCTACGATAACACTTACGACTGATGTTAATGCTACGAGAGTAGCGTTGACAGAAACACATCGTAGCTACGAGCAAACTCACGAACAGGAACTTCATAAGTGCATGTCACAAGGCTGCTGATTGGATGAGAATCGATCACAAAATTTAAATTCATACACATTTATTGTACATCAGTAATTTATGCATATTATGATGGCTAACCACATATAAATAATATGTGATGAAAAATGACGTGGTCTAAATTTAAAATTTATTCTGCACAACCAGACAAAATCTCACTGTAACACGAGACGCGAGAGTCGTGGCAATTGGCAAGGTATTTAAAACAAGAGAACAAATGCCATACGCCATTTGTAAATGTTTTGTTTTGTTTTATGATCGGTAGATAATTAATGATTTTGACGTGTTTTTCAAGAAAAACACACATTTTATTCATTATTATAAAATATAATATCACTATAATTGTAATTCGTAGTGTAAATGTGTTATTTTCAACTTAATATTTAAGTTACGAGAGGGTCTGGGCTCTCATAATGTTAAGAGGATATTAATTTTCGAGGATTTTTCATTCTCGTAACTTTGCGATGTTTCTGTCAACGGTTTACGAATGGAAGTTAATGTTAAGACTAATGTTAAGACTAATTTTGTTTCGGACAACGGGCCCTATATTTACACTGTAAGAAAGTTAACAGGTACTACCTAGTACTGTTTTTTGATCATACACGATTACAGCTATGGGACAGCTATGAAAATATATATTATATATATATATATATATATATATATATATATATATATATATATATATATATATATATATTATATTGGCTAGCACACTTTTCGTTAGTAATCACTATCATGACTATCATGACTATATCATTATTATAATTATCCTTATCCACATTAATTCATTGTCCTCTTTCTTACATGTTCCGGTAAACTAATCCCAGGCCTAGGCTTCACGCACGCCGTGTGCCCAATTATACGAGTAACAGGTTTAATTACCCTCACGGGCAATGACAAACCTGTATTGTTCACATTCATAAGATGTGCCAGCAGGGATTTTTCCACCTGTCGTTACGTTACCCGAGATTTTACCGAAGGAGACAGGATGACTGCGGGCAATGTTCAGTGCGGAAAGACGTGCAGAAACGAACTCATTAGATGCCACAGGCCGCAATCGAAATAGCTGTGCGAAATTAGTGACCGTTAGCGTAAAGCACGGCCGTCGGTGTTAATGTCATTTCCCCCTTATGCTCGACGGATGAACATGGGTATCACAACTGAATGAGAGAGAGAGAGAATGAAGGAGAGTGAGAGAGAGACAGAGGGGAAGAAAGGGAGAGGAAGAGAAAGACATAGAGAGAGAGAGGGGGAGGGAGAGAGAGAGGGAGAGAGAGAGGGAGAGATGGATAGAGATATAGGGAGTGAAAGGGAGGGAGAGAGAGAGAGAGGAAAAGGAGAGGGAGAGGGAAATAGAGATTTCAGGGCACCGAGGTGTCAAGTTACGTGATGCCATGCGACATGCGTGGACTTTCAATAGATGGTCATGAAAGCAACTCACTTTGGGTGTGTGACAAAGAGGAATAACTACGCAACACAAAACTCACGGGAGGTACATGGAAGCACACAAGCGTGGGCACACCACTGGGCGCTCACAGACGTGCATGTCGCCCAATGTTTAGGGAGCAACACAACAAGCTAGGAAGGGAACGACGGCACTTGCCCTCACCGAAATTCGATCCCTGGGTAGGCAGCACCCGCACGCCACGGCAAGTAAATGGGGGCAACCGGGGCACTGTGCCGTCAGGGGAAATTTCGGGCGCCCGGGCGCGCGCGCCGCGACAGGCGCGGCGTGCGACCCGCGGCGCGACATTTCGCGCGCCGACGCGGGGCAGAGACAGCAGACTGACTGCATAGCAACAAGTCACCTGTTCAGACGAATGCGCAGGTAGGCCATCGTCGTGAGGTCGCCGAGGATGTCGCCGACCGTGCGCTCGCTGTCGTCGTCCGTGATCGCAGTGAACGCCAGCGGCTTCCAGTTCTTGATCTGAATTGCACCTGCAACGGCAACGAGTCGACGCGCGCGTGAGATTGCGGCCGATCGGTGAATTGCACCTGCAATTGCAACGAGTCAACGTGCGCGCGATATTGCGGCCGATCGGTGTATTGCACCTGGAACTGCAACGGGGCGATGCGCGCGAGATTGCCGCAAAGATTGCGGTTGATCGGTGAATTGCACCTGCAATGGCAACGGGTCGATGCACGAAATTGCGGTCGATCGGTAAATTGCACTTGCAATGGCAATGGGTCGATGCGCGTGAGATTGGAGGAGCAATGACTGAGCTTGGATTCGTCTGACTGCGGTAGCACTGGCCGGGTTCGAAATTGCACCTACAATAGTAATGCCTGAGCTTCAAACTACACCTGCAAAACAGCTCTAAATTGCAACAACAATAGCAATAATTTGATACATCAGATGTAGATGTAGATCAGAAGCAGAAATGACAGAACTCTTCATTGCACAAGCAGTATTAATGATTCAACGCATCAGATTGCAGCAGCAATAGCAGAGTTCTAAATTGCACCTAGAAGCATACAACTAGCTAGTTTTAGCAGCAGTGGCTCAGCTATGCACGTGCAATAGAACGCATAGATTGCAGTAGCGATGGCTGAGCTCTGAATTGCAACTGCCAGGATGGACCATGAAAAGTGGCACAGCAGCCCAGGAACTGCATGGCCACGATGCACCGCCGCTACTACTCTCACGCAATGTACTATCTAGCTCAGGCTTGCTGCTCGTACGACGTCAGTCACGCAATTACGTACGTACGCATCGAGTTCGACGATACGCACGCATGCACGCACCCTCACTCACACGTGCACGCACACACAGACGAACCCACTTCGTATAGGTGGCCCTATCTGACTCTCTCAAACTGACAAGGGAACATGAAGATACAATCTCTCTCAACATATGTCTAGGTAGAGAAACCCTAACTACGCACGGAAAATACATCATAGAATGCGGAAATATTTTTCACCTCGAAGATAATGAAAGGAAATGGGCAGTCCATAATTATTATCCAAAAATATCAGCTTTTAGTATATTCGCTCCGACGTCTGCATACATGTTAACTACATAAACCCAGCATCAAAAGTAGGACACTTAATTTGTGCAGCAACATATTCACTATATGGTGACTATGCATTTTTCCAGACAAACATAACGCAGTTTTGGTGTCGTATTTTTCAAAAGCATCTGTAAATATTTATTACATTCAATTGCAAATTTAAAATTGTAGCACATCAAATTTCCCCTTTCTATTAAATTTGTAGTTTTCAAGGAATTCCAGTATTTAATATGTCAGTTTAGTGGCCTGCACTGCATCTGAGCAAATACACATCAGTGTTCGAAATAAGGAAAACAAATTTCTTGTCCTGCAAAATCTTTGCTTGTCCTAATTAATAACATAGAAATATAGTAAATGTGTAATACATTTAATCAGATTAAATTTTAGACCCAATATCTTACTTTGTAATTTTAATACAGTTCACTAACTGTTCAAATTAGGCACCAAACTTGAAAGAACATAAAGAAGCACAATTATTTATTTTAAGTTATTATTTGTCTTAACAAAGTTGAAGCGATGGTAGAAAATGATGAAAAATTGCTCTAAAAGTTGCTCTAAAAAGCTGCTTGTCCAGCGGACAAGCTACTGGACAGGTCTACTTGTCCTCCGTGGAAATGGACAAGTGAGGACAAACAGATAACCCTTATTTCGAACACTGCGCATGCATGCTAAACAGCTTATCTAAGTGTTTGTTCACTTTTCATATTAATAGATTACGATACAACTGGATATTTCATTCATAGTTCAACACGTGACCATGATAAGGTTCGGTGGATCTCCGACTAGTAAAATCGAACATATTACCTAATGGTGTGTTAATACCACGTACACCAACGTCAATGCTGTGCAGGTCTTGGGAAAAATACAATTAGAATTTTTTATACGTGAGTAGATATTCACAGGTACAGAATCGTTACCTCTAAATATGAAGGACTACAATGCCATAGCGACTATGATACTGGCTATTCTATATTTAAACAACAAAAATGGAATTTTTATGAGAGTAACGCTGACTGACATTAAAATGGCTTGAAACATGAAAGATTTTTTCGTGTATCATGCATGCAATTAAAACTATAGTTAGGAAAACCAGCACCTGTAAAGTGCATCCTTGTAAAGGTGTGTATAAAAAATCACATGTGTGTGTAGTACGTTTTTTAATGTCTATGAAAACACATTTTCCCTTTGCAAAGTTGAAATCATTGTCGTTTTAAATGAATTACTTCCAAATATGTTTGAAAGAGCCTCTACAACGACCTTAATTCTCACAAATCAATCTATTAACCATTTCACAGAAATGAAAATTTGACTGAATGCTTGCATATTTGCATGTCGCACGCTGCTTCAAATCAGTTTTCTACTTTCTTAAATTTAATCCAATACAGTATTACATTGCGTAAACAAATGAATGCCCTTTGAAAGGAAATGAAATTGCTTGCTACGAACATTATTTTCCTTTGTTACGTGTCTGTTCGCACGCAAGCATAGTATAGCCACATTAATCACACATCTACGTTTGCCAACTGAGCTGCTACACAACTGCTGCAAAACTGGACACTTTCCTTTTCTGTCGCGTGCAGTGTAGCCAGAGCAGGAACACTCAACGTTATAGCATCTCTCATCTACACACAGACGCACGCACACACACACACGCGCGCGAACAAACACACACGCACACACACGCGCGCGCACACACACACGCACGCGTGCACAAACACACATGCACACACACGCGTGCACATACACACACGCGCGCGCACACACACACGCACGCGTGCACAAACACACATGCACACACACGCGCGCACATACACACACGCACGCGCGCGCACACACGCACGCGTGCACACACACGCGTGCACACACACGCGTGCACACACACACGCGCG